AAGAAATAAAAAAAAACTACCTACAAAGATTCTTTATAGTTTTAAGCATCTATACAAATCATTTTTGGAATTATGTCTCTATTGAAATAAAGAGTTAGGAATTATATTCTCTAAGGGATGTGAATGTAAAGAGACGTAAATTTTATATGCTAAATACTTTAGGGATCCATCTTTACTTGTAGGGATTGTCTTCTTTTAAGCAAATACCGGATTGGAATAGTTCTAGGCTAGAGTGTTCTTTGTGCTACAGAGTCTGTTGTGTCAAAGGATTTGTGGGCTTTTATCAGAGTTAGACCAGAAGCCTTTCCTCATGCAACCTTCCATGCTTCGATCTATTTTCAGCCCGTGATCGTTGAAAAGATCAGAGGTTCCATCTTCATGCAACCTAACTAAATTTGATCAGGATCTGGATGTTTGGAGTATGACATTTGTAGGAAAACCGATAAACGCACAAATGAAGAAATATTATATGTTTTGCCTCCTATGGGTATTGAACTAGGGACATGCATTTGGAGATCAGGAAGCACTACCCACTGTGCTATTGATCCATTGGTCATATTTTTTTATATAAATCTTTTTATTTATTTTATTTTATTTCTTATTAAAATTAGATTTTTTCTTTTTTCTAAAGTTTTTTTTCTCTAAATTTATTTTTTCTTTTAAAATACTATTTTTTATTTTATTACTTCTTTAACTAGTTGACTTTTTTTCTTAGAAACCATATTAAAAAATAACAACTTTCTTTAAAAAGTAAATTTTGATAAGTTTTTCTCTTTTATAATTTCTTTTAAAAAAAGAATAAATAACTTACTTTTCAAATGATTGATATAATCATTATTATCAAATCTAATATTGTTTACTTGTTGATAACTAAATTAGATATATTTAAGAAACTATTATATAACTATTATTATCCAAATTTTCAATATGTTGTGCTCCACAGTTTATATTATTAATTTTTTTTTTTAATGATTATTTTAAGTAAAATTTTTATATTTTATATTAATTTTATAACTTGATTTTCTAAAATTCAATTTTGTGTTTTCGTTTTTTTCATGATAAAAATAAGACAAAAATAATATTTTTTTTGAAATATAACATTAAAAAAAAAACACAATAATGAAATAATATTACTAATTAATATAAAATATTTTAATTAAGATTTATACTAAATTTTTTTATATTTTTAGATTAATATTTATTAAATAATAATACAATTTTTTATTTAGTATTATAACTTGCATGGATACTATTTATAATTATAAAAATATACAAAATAAGGTAAATTAAAACGTATTTGTAAATACGAATATTGAGTTCATATAAGACTATTCATAACATTAGTAACAAAATCAAATGTTTTCGCAAGCTCTTAGTCAAAAAATTTATTAATTCAAAAATCGATTAAAAACTCAGGTAACAACTTTCAACAGTGAAAACTGAAATAATGAAGATAATTTTACAGTGGTACTCAAATAGAAACTTATTCACTAAAAATCCAGAATTATTGTATCGTAATATCGCGGGGTGAAATAGTGATGGACTTTGTCTAAGTATCATAAAATTATGAAATAAGTTAATAAACATACCAATCGTTATTGTATCTACTGGATTATATACCATATTATTTGTCTTGTAAATTCCCACTAAGCGGTCAGCCAACTCAAACATGTTATTCCGTAAGCTAATGACAATGAATTGTGCATTTTTGGTACGCTCTTTGATATAATTTGCCACGATTGAAACATTGCGAAAGTCCAAGGCAGCATCAATCTCATCCATCACGTACAGTGGAGTTGGCTTAAAGTGATGAAGAGCAAACACCAAAGCTAAAGAGCTTAACGTCTAACAAAACGAATAACTTATCAATAAATATTCATGTTACCAATGACTTAGAACAGCAAAACATGATACCTTTTCTCCGCCGGATAAATTAGAAATATTTTTCCAGCTTTTTTTCGGAGGCATAACGCTGAATATAATACCTTCAGAAAAGGGATCTAGACTATCACAACATTCTAGCTCTGCATTACCTCCAAGCGTAATCATCTAGAAAGGTAAATAAAAAAATTTCTATAAGATCTGTGCTTGATATAATGAGAATCGTAATTTAAGAACACTATTAGAGGCTCAATATCAAGATCAATAAAAATAAAATATTAAAAGCTCTAACCTGATACATCTCTTTTAATTTTTGGGATATTAATGTAAACCCATGCATAAACTCTTCTAATCTCAATTTACGAAGATCGTCATACTCTTTTTTGCATTCGTCACGCATACGGGTGACTTCTTCAAGGTCTCTTGCCCTAGAAAGATATTCTTCCTCACAACGTTTGTATTCCGCTAAAACATTTAGATTAGGGCTGGCACTCTGTATCTTTTCTGCATATTAATAATTTAACGTTAACAGTTAGGAGTCGGCGATTCTAATGATCAAAAGCGTGTATTATTATAAAGACTAACAAATTTAAAAAAGTTGATACCATTAAGAACTTCGATTTCGTTTTTCAAGCTTTCTTCATCGATTGATTTAAGTTCGTCATCCGTATAAGTTGGAAATTCAGGTTGCCTTTCATCATCACTGTGATAATAGTAAAAAAACCAATATCGATAAATTTCATGTAACAAAGAATCGCAATACGGCATATACATTACCTTATTTCGTGAAGAGCGAGCTTTTTGAGAGAGTTTACTAAGTGTTTTTCCTTATGCCTATTTTCCAACAAGCTGCGCTCGTTATTTTCAAGTTTATTTTTAATTTCTAACTGATAACGACCAAAATATATTAATCATAAAAATCATTCAAATTAATGACCATGAGTTTTGTTAACAAAAGTTCAACCTGGATGGCCCGGGTGTTATTAATTATAGTTGCTTTGCTGTCGCGTTCGGCTTTCATTTCATCAAGCGCTTCTTTCTTTTCTTCCAGATCCTAACAAGATGCAATCGATTTTAGTAATTATTACTAACAGCTCGTCTAAAGCAATTCGAACAATTTATACAGATAACATGCCTCTTTTATCCTTTCAACTCTGATCTCGATAGACCTTGATAATTCTGTATTCTGTCGAATACTGCCTTCCAAGTCTTGCATTTCTTGATTAAGCTGTTCTATTTCACCTTCATTTTTTGCAATAGAATTTTCAAATTTAGTTACATCTTTTTCGGCCTTCGATTTTGCAACTTGGGCTTTCGTGATATGGTCATTAGTCATATCTATTTGTTCCTTTATCGAGTCTACTTTCATCTTTTGGGCACGAAGCTTATCACCACCGACTTGCAGAATCTTTTCATGCAGAATTCCTATTTCGCCTTCTATTTTTGAAGATTGATTCTTAAGATTAGTCAATTCCAGGTTCAATTTATCGATTTGCCCTTTAAGTTGTTGCATTCGTTTTCGATCTTCAACATTTGGTTTATTCTGTTGTCTGAATGGAAGAATAATAATATAATTAGATCAAAATATTTACTCAACCCATGTTCTAATACTGTAGCGACGGTAGCATTTGTTTTACCGCAATTCCGAGATGAGTTTCTGGGTATCGGTAATTCGTTTAGCGCATGAACTTGAATCCATTTCTAATTTCGATAAATTAACTTCCATCAGGGGTAGTTCTTGTTTAAGTTGTTGAAGCCGACTTTCATACGCTTTGCGTTTTTCATTAAATTCTTTCCATTTATTTTCTAAATCAAACCGTTCCCTCTCCAACTTAGAAATCATTTCGGGAGTCACATCCGAAACAAATTTTGAACTCATTCCTCCACGAATAACTCTATTACCACCTCCACTCATGGTACCGACTAGATCAAAGAGTTGACCTTCTAAGGTAACTACGCGCCATCTTTGCTTGCCGTAAGCGATCCTAGTTGCCTGTTGCAGATCTTTTGCTACAAGAGTATTTTGTAAAACCTTGTAAAAAGCTGGTGCGAATTTTTC